TACAAACAGGATGTACAATAAAGAGATCGGGATTGATTCCCTCACTCCCTGCCATCGAGTCAATGCTGACTCGGCAGTCCACTGTGGGTTTCTGAGACGGTAACTGTTGACGGGAGAAGAAAACCCAGTGTTTCTCCAAAAGAGCTGCTAGGAATTCACAGCTTTGTTCTAGACGTTTCTGAAAGATTTCCCTCAAGGGCAGGGGGGTGGGGGATATTTGAGGAGGTGAGAGAAATGAGGCAAGAAGATCGGGAAGACCATTCAGTCTTCTCAAAGAGCATTTTAAGGTCTTATTTTAAAAGAAGGGGCATTTGAGGGGAAGATCAAGGGGCAGATGAACTAATTATGAGGATAAAAAAGCACAAAGCTGCTCTAACCTAGAGCAAGTCCCTGGGAAGTGGGAAGGGACAAGCGGGAACATACTGACTTACATCTCATCCTTGAGCAATGATCAAGAGTCAAAAAAATATTTGAGAAAGAATTAATAATCCATCAACAAACACAAAATTGACCTTGAGTTCAAGGCCCTGCAAGGCTGGATTATTATCTTGGTTTGAGGGGGAAAAAGTCAATTCTCAAAAATAAATAATACAAAAGCATGTTCACATCATCATTACATAAATAACCATGAGGCTTCGCCTCAGACAAGCAACTGCATAACTCCACAGGGCAGTCCAAATGCAGCCAGTAAGGGCACCGAAAGCTTTGCCTGAGACCCAGCAACTCTTCTCCCTTTATTTTGTTTACTTTTCTTTAGTAAATTTAAGCACAGTGAAATTTATCGCTTTATCATAAAAAGCAAATATGGGATAGTTTTATTGTCCTCAAGCCAGTTTTGCCCATGGTCAGATAACTGAAATGAAGTCCATCAAACATTAAGGAGTGTTGGTTATTTGTTGGTGGTGAGCTCTGTGTGTGTGTGTGTGTGTGTGTGTGTGTGTGTGTGTGTGAGAGAGAGAGAGAGAGAGAGTTCTTTACCTTTCATCTTTGTAATTTTCTTTGTTGTCTGATTTTTTAAAAATAGAATCCATTTGGATCATTATTACAAAAGTAATGGCTGTAATCGCCGTGTTATTTAAATTAAAAAAAACTACTGAAAACAGGGGTTCATTTTGATCCTCTTTAATGTGGCCGTTTATGTGTAATGTGTTTCATCAAAGCTGAAGAAAAGAATTTCAATTCAGATCGCTTAAATGACTTGTGTCAAGTCCCAGATTTACACAAAACAGCCCAGACAGTCCTTGTAGGAATTTTACCCACCCCCAAAAGCAGAGATCTCAAGCTCTGCTCTTGAAAGTCACAAGCTACTCCCTTACCCCCATCCTTTACTCCCTTCATCCCCTATGAGAGAGGTAAGGACAGTGCCCAAGAACCCACACTTTCTGGTGGGTTGCCACCTCCTCGGGCTCCTCCCCTTTAGGAACTATACTTTGACACACACGTGAAAGTCGGGTTTATAACAATTCACCTATCCCTGTGTTTCCCAGGAATACTACTGCCCAAGTGAATAGGCTGACCTGTGACTAATTCCAATTTTATTTCTCTTCTTTCCCAAAGAATTTAAGAGAGGTGACCTTGAAGAAGGGAGTGGGAAGAAAATACAAGGGACCTGATGTGCCGACCACCTCTGCCACAAGTTCTGCTGAACTGCAGATAAAATCAAATCCCCACATCCATAGTCTACTTCTATTGTTGTCTATCAAAAAGGGTTACAGAAATCTAATGAGATATTGCTCCCTGTTTCAAAAAGCACATGTCGAGTCCCCAGGGTCTTCCAGAAGCTGTAAAGCCCTGGGAAACCAAAGCTAAAGAAGGCGCTGCCCCTGTGTCTTGGAGGCTTATCAATGTAAGACAGAGATCTATGACTAAAGCCTCATCAGCATTATTTAACACTGCACTGCTGGTTAAAGCCTGGACATTTCCAGAAGGAACTATGCCTTCTAGCTATCCTACCATTCTAGAAGCCATTTATGTGGAACCAAACCAAACACTGCCATCGAGTCATGCCGACTCATAGCAACCCTTTAGGACAGGGTAGCACTGCCTCTGTGGGTTTCTGAAATGATAATTCGTTACGGGAGTAGAAAGCCTCATCATTCTCCCAAGGAGCAGCTGGTAGGTTTGAACTGCTGTCCTGGTGGTTAAAAGCCCAACACATAACCCACCCATAATGCACCAGGGATCCTAATTTAGGTGGGAAGAAAGGCCTAAGCCAGGAGTCTGACTGAATAAACGAGTATGACACCTGACAGGAGAGAGTGGTTACCGAAGGAGTGATATCATGACTGAGAGAACTCCAAGACGTTCTCCCAAAGACTACCTTCCCCGACAAGCGCATGTGTCGTTTGGGTGGGGGTCGGAGGGAAGAGGTGCTCTGGGTTGAGGCAGACTTTCTGGAAGAATATTTAGAGCAGAGAGAGAACACGTCTGCCAATAGAAACGGTTCTCTCTTGTGTCTTTCAGGCAAGTCGAGGCTTGAGCCACAGAGTGGCCCCAGTCTACCGGTGAGAAGACACAAACGTGTGGAGCTCAATGTGAACCAACAGGTGTATGTTTGGTGGTCGCAGCGACTCACGTAGAAAAAGCGCCAAGTCCCCTAAAAGAGCTCAAAGAAAGAGAGGGCACGAGGACAATGGGATAATACTACACATCCTTAAAGAACAAAGAGGAAACTGCCAAGCACCTCATGACATGGACGGATTTGGAGGATATTATACTGAATGAAGTCAGTCAATCACAAAAGGTCAACCATTGTATGAGACCACTGTCTCAAAAGAAGAAATCGAGACAAAGGTTGTTTTGTACCAAAAGAAACAGATTTTGATGGTTATCAGGAGTGGGAGGGGAAGCAATAAGCCAGAGAGTAAAACTCAAACCACACTCACTGTCATGGAGTCGATGCTGAGACACAGTGAGCCTGCAGGACATGCAAGCACTGTCCCTTTGAGTTCCCAAGACTGTAACTCTTTATGGGAACAGAAAACCCTGTCTTTCTCCCTCAAAGAGGCTGGTGTTTTCGAACTGGTGATCTTGCAGTTAACAGCCCAACACATAACCACTATGCCATCAGGGTTCCAGAAGGCAGAGAGTAGACAGGTGTTAACTTGGGTGAAGAGGAAGATATTATCTTACAAAAGGGGACAGCTGGGGGGAAGGTTGAGGGACAGGGCAAGTTATCTGAAGGTTGGAGAAGTTGTTGAAAGGAAAGATGATGATCTGAAATGTAAATCTCATCTAGTTCACAAGGAAAGAGGGATGGGGAGAGAGGGGGCGGGAGAAAGAAAAGCACCCCAAAGTGTCCACCTAGGCTTAAACCACATGGCTATAAATGGTCCCATGAAAACTCTGGGATGGCTAAGCACCCAAATTTGGACTTTTCTACCCTTAGTAGAGATCTTCAATAACTTCACTTGCAGACGACCATCGAGGCAAGTTGTAGGTCTCTCTATTAGAAAAACCTTTCCAATGTGTTTTATGAAATTAACCAAGGTGTCTTAATTCAGGAAAAGAAATCAATACCCACCGAGGCAACTGGAGAACCCTAACAAATCCTTAAACCTGAACCGTACAAAATCACTCCTTAACACCTTCACGGAAAACGGATTCATTTATTTCAAACTTGTCTCAAGCCACTCTTTATCAACACCCTTGTTTTATTAGAACAATTAGAACGTATTAAAGTGGTTAGAATAATCTACTTCCAACAGACTTACTCTGAGGATTTTAGTGGATAACTGTTCTAACATCCTTATTAATGTTGATTCATGGTTTATGATAATTTTATAAAGTGAATATTCAACATTGTAAGAAAATATTCTTTACTATGTCAAAACCATAATCCCTAATGGCTTCATACACACACACAAAAAAGGAATCCAATTCTCTTGGTACAAACTTGAATGTGATCTAATTTCCCTTGTAAGACACAGTAAATAGTAATCATGTTTCCATGTCCCTCCTCCAATCCTCATCCTTAACAAAATAAAAATAATTTCCTCTTCCAGTTGACAGCGAAAATGGTCCACATATCTGGGGGATTTGATTTCCGTTAAATGTAGTGTTTTAACTAGATTTTTGAGCCAGACTTGACACCTTGATATTCAGAACCCACCTGCATCGAAGGCTCCTGTGTTAAGCTGGGTCCTCTGGAGAGGCAAACCCAGCGATGTGTCAGGTATTAAGCTAAAGGCTTTTCCTGACTCACTTAGATGCCAGGTTGGACAAACCAGGAAGCAGGAAGAGCACAGTCAGGTGGAGACAAAGGTGGATGAACCCAAGATCAGCAGATCAGGTTCATGGCTACTGAGTTGAATGAATAAATCCAAGTTCCACAGTGTGTTAGTCAGGGTTCTCTAAAGAAACAAAACCAGGACCTTTATGATTGTGTGTGTGTGTGTGTGTGTGTGTGTGTGTGTGTGTGTGCCTCCAGGGAGGAAGACAGGAGTTCCCAGAACCCTCAGAAGGCCATGCCACACAGAGGGATCATTGGCTATGACCTGATTGACAGGCTAGGCTCCACCCCTTCGCCGAAGTTGACAGGAGATTATGTAACTGCCACACCAAGTCTATGCACTGTCCAAGGTCAGGTAACTGAAAATATGCTGATGTATTCTCCTCAAAATCTCACAACTCTTCCCCCTGTCCCAAGACAGCTATGGGAAGTCACTGTCCCAGGGTTATAATTAGCTTTCAAAACATCATCTACAAATTTTCTGTTTCATTGGGGTTTCTTAAGCATTCTTCCTGAGTTGTTTGCCATTGGCATTAATTTTCAAGGAATAAGAATAATTACAAGATAAGATATTGACTCCACTGTCATCATATATTCTTATTGTATGAAGCAGGAGTTAGCGTCCTCACATTACAGATAGGATCCAAGCAAGCGGCCCTTTAGGAGGGTTGTGGTCACAGAAAGAAAAAGCTAGTCAAGTAGCAATTATTTTATGCCTTTTAGCACACCAGTACTTTTTATTCTAAGGAATAGATATGAAAATTCAGTCATACTTACCTGGCAGGGGAGACACCATGATGAAAAAGGTGGTTTTCCCAGGGCGAGGTGCATCCATTGCTCTCCGGATGTGCTGACCCCTGCGATTTCCCCAAATGTGGGAAACTCGACTGTATCATTTGTGGTAGTGGGGGCCTGCGTTCGTGGTCTCCCCTGAGGAAAACAAAGAAAATTCAGTCATTTTCGCTCATCTAAATTCGATCTCCAAATTCGTAGTCAAAATAGCTAGTCTATTCATTCCCGGGGAGAAAGACCAGGTTTTCTCCTCCGGTAAAGAGTTACTGCCTCAGAAACTCACAGGGGTAGTTGGACCCCATCTTATACGGTCCCTAGAAGTAGCCATCAACTTGATTTTATGTATTCCTGGGAGGGGGGGAGGTGAAAATTACTGTCCCGGCATAAGGTGTGTCTTGTAGAAACACTACTAGATGAAACATGGAAATTTCCATTCTTATAGGTAAAAATGGATGGATGCTGATGATTTCCTATGAGTCGTTCTCACACATTATGCTAGCATGATATGATTTAGAAGTGTCAGTCATTCAGTAATGAACTAGAATGATGACCCTCGAAAGCGTCGTCTTTGGAATGGTCAGTCATGTAGACTGACTCTTGCCCATAGGTGGCAGGTACTATCAGGTATAGCAGGTGGGACCTTGCTAACAGCCTCTGAGGCCCGAGTCCAGGGAGAAAGAATGAGCTAAAGACAGATCGAGTCAGCCCCAGTTTACCCAGCTTGGGCCTCTGCACAGATTAGTCTTATGCAGCTTTATACGCTCCCAGGGCAAACGATCTCCTTCTTGGGGCTTATCAATAAATTCACCCAGCCTTGGCTTCTAGGGTGGCCTCGCTCCCTGGGTCACTGCTTTGCAAACCCTGGTGGCAGCTCTCCTCTTTCACATGGGTTCCCATGAGAGGCCTCTTCTATGGCATTGTCACAAGTCGGGGAGACAGAACAGAGTAATACTGATTCTGAAGTCGAGCTTTTATCCAAGACCAAACCCACTTTCCAAGCAGTAAGATAAAGATTTGTAACTCCCGTGTCAAAGTTCTTGGTGGGAATTAAACAAGAAACCAGGCAGGAAAAGTTTTTTGTGTGGAGAATAATCACTAGTTTTTGTAGAGTGTTCTAACCTTTCTATTGTGTCCATGACAACAGATTCCCCCCAAAAATTGAACCTTGCTTTCTAAACTATGGGCCATTGTCAGGAATGGGGCAGCAGGGAAGGTAAAATGTCGCACAGAATCGCCTTGTCATTGAAAGGATTAAAAATCCATTGCCATCAAGTCAATTCTGATTCAGAGCAACCCTACAGGACGGACTAGAACTGCCCCAGGGGGGGTCGTAAGCTTCAGAGAAGCAGACGGCCACATCTCTGTTCCACAGAGTGGCTTGTGGGCTCACACCACTCTGGACTTCCTGTTGCCAGCCAAGCGCTTAACATTGCGCCACCAGGGCTCCTTTTCAAAAGATTAGGCAGAGCTGTATCCACAGAAATATAGAGATCACTCACACACATGGATTTTTCTAGTATTTGGTGTAGTTGCTTGTGTATATGCATAAACACATAGACACACACAATTAGAGATTGAACAGTGAACACTTGAAAGTGGTTCTCCATGGGGCAAGGAAAGTATCAGGTGGTTAGAAAAGAAAGTATCCTTGTGTTTGTGTCTTTTTCAAGGAACAATTCTAAGCATGGGGGATTATGAATTTTAATAGGTAAAAGACATATCAATTTATTGGATTGTGGAATTTCTTAGCCCCTGATTTGAACAAAGTTTTAAATAATTATATGGCAATGTAAACTCTATGCTCTGGGCATTTGCTGATAAGAAATAATTGTAATTTCAGGAAATATGACAATGGCATTTGGGATTTGGTTTTTTAAACCCATAGCTATACCGAAATACTTACTTCCAAAATAATCCAGTGACAGGTAGAGATGAAACAAGATGACCTGGTGCTTGTTGAAGCTGAGTGATACTACTTGTTAGGGTACAGATATAGTAGAGCTATAGGGTTTTCTCTACCTTTGTAGAGGTTCAAAACTTTTTTTTTTACACTGAAATATATTTTATTAATAAAGAATGTTGAGATGAGCAAACTAATTTAAATATAAAATGTTTTAAAACTTAACACTAAAACAGATTTGACAATCATATTCACAATTACCGGAGTTTATAGAACATTTAATTAATATACAATGGGAGGGAAAGGAGGAATAAATAGAGGAAATATTAATTAAAGGTTCGAAACTTTTTATAGAAACAAGTTACTATAAACAGAGAAGTCCTGCCTCTTTTTGGCATTGGTAGACCTGGCATTCCTTGGATCCTTGGTGTTCTGCATATGGTATGGCACCTCTCTGCCCCTATCTGGGCTTCTTACTTGCCTGTTTCATTTCCTTTATATCTCGAAAAAGATGAACTAAGACATACCCTGCACTAATTTGGTCTCATTGCATACCTAAGAAATTACATTCCCAAATAGGATCATGACTACGACATGGATGAGAATATCAACACATTTTTATGGTGGGTGGGGTGAGAGAGACCACAATTTAAGTCATAACATATGGATAATATAGTATGGCCCAAAGTGAACTCTCAATGAGCTCTGCTCTCGTGGCTCCATTGGCCTTGCCTATGCCACGCTCGTATTCCATAAAAGGCAGCTGTGGGTTCTCCACAGCTATAGCCATCTCTCTTTGGATGCACAAGAAGAGCCACAAACCCCGTGTGCCTGAAACTGAATCCCTCCATTTGGCTGAATGAATTAACAAGGATGATATTGGCCTACGTATCCTTTGAACATAGTGGATTATTCCTTAATGCTGGGCTTTTCATAATTGTCAGGCATGTTCCAGTTCCCTAATTGCAGTTGCTCAGAGCTTAGACCTGATTTAAGCACAAATTCATCATGAATTTGATGATTTATAGATTTTGTAACCAACTATAATTAGCCACCCCAAGCATCTCTACCACCGTGGCTATTGCTATTGGAACTTTTCCATTGGAGAATTTCCATAATATCCATCCTCTACCTGAAGAGATGCTATTTTCTAGAACCTGATCTTCCACAAGAAGTGAACTTCCAGATTCTCTTCAATGCAATAACAAAGAATTCTTTGACTTCACAATGCCTTGGCTATTATTTGGTACTTCATACTGAAGAGAGCAATAACTTACTCTTTGAGTCTTTAACTATTTTGTGTCCATTTTCATAAGATTCAAACTATATTCATAATAACCCTACCAGAGGTTTTTCTCAAGATAAATTAACCATTCAGTGATTAAGAGGGAGTAGGAGGGTGGAAGATGGCAACATCTCACAAGAGTGTTTTATAGACAACATCTTTGAAATCTGAAAACGTATCAGGAGCCTTGCTGAGCACAGTGCCTCAAATGTCTCCTAATGGATCTTATAATAGTAATAATTTCTCCGCCACTGTTGAGTAATGCATACCTTTCCAAGTCCTGGGGAATAAATAGCAGGTTTCTCATATGTGCACTTTCTAAAATTTGTTTCAGATCCATTAGCTCCTTGGCCAGTGAAATACATTTCTTTCTAGAGAGATGCGGACACTGTAATTTTGCTGCACCATTAACTCACCAGGGAACATATTGGCTATGTCTCTCCATATTAGCCTTTTGTTCTCTTTCTGTGAGTATGTGCAACAAAAAAAAAACCCTAGATCATGCACTTGCTGTGCACTGAGCTTCTCCTAGGTGAGGTTTTTATGGCTAAGGGAAGCATTAGAGTTATACATCAACACGTGTGAGAGCTGGAAAGTGTACAAGCAATCTAGTTCATCACCCCTTTTGTTCTAGATGTGGAAAAATGGGGTACAGAGAGCTTCAGTATCTTTCCCAAAACAATAAGATTGGTCAAGGATAAAACCAGGGAGTCATGCCTTCAGATTTCTATTCAGAACTCCTTGTCCCCCACAATGGAACTCTGACGTCCTTCAAACTATTAAAATTAAATGATTGCCTGGTCTTTGGCAAGCAGACTTTTCTTCACACTCTTCAGGGCCTGAATGAGAAAGCAATAAAAAGTTTACAAAACCCATCTCAAAGCTCCATTTACATGAGGAACAGTTCACTGCCCCGCAAAGGATCTGTTCATTATGAAGCCAGTTGACTTTGACTTGTGACAAACGCATGGGTGTCGGAGTAAAACTGAGCTCCATAAAATTTTTCATCACTATTATTTTTTGTTGTTGCTTTTTATGTAGATTACCAAAAGAAGAAAGAATTAGTCAACATTCAACCATTTCAAGAGGTAAAGTGTGATAAGAATCAATGGTATAGAAGTAGGAACTGAAGAACAAGCTCTACTGAAAGCACTGGCCAAAAACAGGTTCCAGGAATTGACCAGTATGATTTGACACTTGTTTGAACAAATTGATGCAGTGCTAAAAGTACACCAAGAAATCTGGAAGAAGCTACTTGGCCAACCAAATGCAAGAGATCCACATTTATAGCCATGCAAGGTAACCCAAAGGAATGCAGAAATTACTGAATAATACTAGTACTATCCCAAGCAAGTAAAATTTCACGTAAGATAATTCAAACGTGATTGCAATAGTACTTGCACAGGGAGCTGCCAGACTGGAATGGAACACAGAATATAATTGCATTATAATCTTGTTTCCTTCAAGACAGATTTACTCATTCTTCTGGCAGTCCATGGCATCTCCAATATTCTTCACAACACCATAATTCAAATGTATCCATTCTCTGGTCTCATTGTTCAGTTGTCGCATGCATACGAGGGGATTGAAAATGCCATGGCTTGGGTGAATCCAGGATCTCTGTACCCACCTCCCCAACTAGTTGGGAGTTCCTGCAAGTACATTTAACACTCCTGGCACACCTGTGCCCAAGGAATGGGAAAATGGAGGAATTTATGAGTGGCTATGATATAAAGACTTTCCCACCCCACCCACTGGTGAAGATGCAGCAAGACAATGCTGAAAACCAGAGTGGGGAGAGAGGGGCAAATGTCTCCAGAAGAGGAGCCATCCAGTTACTGGTGCTGGATGTCCAACTACCTATTATGGATTTTGAACGCACTCTCATCAGTGTAAATTCAACTTCACTCATTTAATAACCCTAAGTCATAATTCAAAAGCCAATGTTGACTACAT